CGCCAACGTCGACACTCGCAGAAAATATTATTATTTTTCAAAAATAAAATATCTCTCCTCAAAAGGATTTGCACTTCAAAAGGATTAAAATTAGGTTAACCGTTCTGCAAACTAGAAGATTTACTAAAATATTTTAAAATATTTTTGTAAACTCTAGGAAATAATGTTATTATAACAAATATAGCTATGTTTATTTTAAAAAATAAAATTTGAACCCTCTTAGGATCTTTAATATAATATGTAAATGTTAGTTCAACCCGAACAGTTAAATATTCTATTAAATATTTATATACTCTTTTTAAAGGCAAAACATCTTAAATTGTTTGTGTTACAGCATGGCTCTCAAAATTAAAGCTACATGTGAGTTATAAAAGCCAAAACCGAGTTTAGACAATTAAATTAAATTGTTTACTTGAGTTTAAGTCCAAACAAACGTATCTATACTTTTAAAGTGGATTCTGTTTACCAAAAGATGGTATTTTAACAAGGAAAAATCGAAACTTTAATATGATACATTTGTTTATTAGTAGAATGTAAAGTTACATTTCTAGTCTACCTCATCTTAATTTGTAAAAAAAAAAAACAAATAGCTTACACATTTGTTGCATTAAAATGATTACATCTGATTACATTTTTGTATATATTTTTTGATCTTTTAAATGGAAAATGATCCAGGTTTTTCATAGTGCATCGAGTGGAGCGTCGGAGAGTAGAGCTGAGCTTAGATTGAGCAGGGTTTTGATTTTTGTTGCTCGGTGTTTTGAGTTTTGAGTTTGGCGTTTGACAACGGTTGGGCTGAGCTGAGCTTGAGCTTCAGGTCCGCCACGTACGAGCGCCATATAAGTACGAGCAGTCCAGCAAAACAACAAAAAGCAAGGCGGCAGCAGCATAAAAACAGTTTTCGGTTTGCAGCCCGCGCTGTGAGCTGCATGGAAAATTAAATTAAATTTGCTGCGTTGCCTTTTGGTAGGCTCTTTCGTCCGCCGCTGTTAGTGGGCAATAGTGGGCAACAGTGGGTTAACAGTGGTCGGCGGACTAGACAAACAATATTGGCCATCGCTGGCCATTCAATTTGGCGTTCAACCAATCCTCATTCAACCGGTTTGATTTTAGGGCCTTTTAACATCATCGAATCAATCACAGACTTAGGCAATTTAAATTGTATTACTAATTTATGGAAGCCACATTTTATCACAGAAGAGCAATATTTAAAAACGTTTTTCAATAGTAAATATACAATATTTAGTTTTCCTAATACAAATTATTGTCATTACATTTTTAATCCAAACCCCTTTTTACCGGTTTGTTATGGTGCCTTTTAACATCAACGAATCAATCACCGACTTAGGCAATTTAAATTGTATTACTAATTTATTTAAAAGCGGCCATTTTTATTATCAAAATTGGCAGCAGAATAGCATTATTTAATTACAACTTTGGTGGTTTTAAAGGTCTTATAGACAATTGAAAAGCAATCAAAGATTTCATTACATTTATTTTATTGCTGCCATAATACATACATACATACATAAAATAAACATAAAAAGTAATTAAGAAATAAGTATAAGCTTAAATATACGTTTTCTGAACAAATGTTAGCTATATAAATATTGGTTTTAACACCATTAATTGTGAAAGCGGAGTTTGATTCTTAGCACATCATATATTGGCCGAATAAAGTTAGATCATGAAAAGCTATTTTTTTCCCCTTATTAATGTACAACCTTTGATATTAATGATGTAGTTACAAAATTAAAGTTTAACCCACTTTGAAATCTATATTTATTTGTTAACTTTCCGGGTGAAGCATGACACCAATTTTTATTAGATTAACCCTTTTGATTCGATAACTAAGCCGGGTGAAACTAGGCAACTCCCCCATCCACCCACTTGGAGGCGTTAGGCAGCGCACCATTTGTTATCGGATGGGGATTTGGTAAACAAACATGTTTGATTAGCATAAAGACAAACGACCAAAACAGCCGTCAACCAAATGTCTCCGACCTGATCCTCATCTCCATCTCCATTTCCACCGCCATCTCTATCTCTATTTTCATCTCCATCTGCGACTGCGTTAAATGCAAATTCGAAATATGATTTACAAAATACGCAGCGCATAACACTTGGCTGACGTTTCACACGATAGAAAGCAGGAGGTAGCAGTCGAGGTTAATTAGCATATGGGTGGGTTTCTGTGAAGGGGTTTCATAAGCGTTTCCAATCGAATTCAATCCCTGACCTGGCCACGCCCCCCCTTGGATCAGCGAATTGCTTTCGAACGAAATCGAAAGTCTTGATTGGATTGGAATGGTTATTTTTGTGTTCTGGGTTTACGGTTTCAGGGATCTTAAAACCCTCCCCCCAAAAAAAGTCTTCTCACGCTTTGCATGCCATAAATTTCACCGCCTTTCACTGTAAATCATTTGGCTAACTTAATTGCGTGCATTTTAATGCCCATTCCATTGCGTGCCATTTTCCATTTGATGTGTTTGCAGCAGCTTTTGCTTTTTGCAATTCTGTGTGCCAGTTTTCCCCCTAAAGAAAACTCTTCCATGCGATGCTCTGTTTCGCAAGCGGGCCAGGTTTCACATCGGATGCATCGCACAAACTAACAACTAAAAACCGAAAGCAGAAAGCCAGGAAAAGGAAGAAGGGATCTATTCGAATGGCGGTTACCCATTACCCGTTGCCCATTGTCTATGCGATTCAGGTGGAACCTTATCGACGAGTGCATTGGCATGGCTTTCGAAATCATTCGTTATACCGATTGAATATCAAATCGAACGACTTAACCTTCACTGCGGCAAGTTCGTGCCTTAAGTCTTTTGTTTTCGTACACACACACACAAAATACGAACTCACACTCGCATACGAACTGAAAGTGAAATTTCGTTGTAGGTAATTTCGTCGTTGGCTGCCTTTATGATTTTCGGTAATTGTTGAAAAAGAAAGGCACTCACAATCGCATCACATCGCTGATAAGAAACGTGATTTAATTTTTAGCTACAAATTATGAAAAACATATGCCGCCAACGAGCGGCTTTTCACTTTTCAATGGCCTTGCCTGGGAGGCCATGTCTCTTATTTTTTGTTCGTCTCCTCGCCACCACCTTCCATCAGATCGACTGGAATCGGCCTGGTCATCTGCTCATCTGGCATCCATCTCATTCGGCAGCGGAAGAACAAAAAACTCGTCTGGGAGTTGTCCGTTCGTTTTGCGCTGTAATTTTCGTGTGTTATCTTCCCTTTCCCAAAGCTGGTTATTTTAGTTTTCAAAGGACAGCTGTAAAATATGTTAAGTTGTAAAGAATACTTTCTAGAAGACTGAGAAAAAGGTCTAAGTACTTAAGTACTGACAATGGAAGAACATAACATTCAAAATTAGTCCTATCACTTCTCAGAATTTTAATTATTATTAAAATTATATTATTGGGAAAAAGGTTAAGGTACTACAAATTTGTTGGCAAAAGAAGAATTTAACATTCAAAGTTATATACAAAATTCTTAATTTAATCACCTCAGAATTTTAATTTCTGTTTTTAAAATTAATTTCAATTACCAGTGATAAAAAAAAACCTGAAGATTAAATGCGTTAAGATGGAGAAATTAAATGGAATATATGCTTTGACGTCAAAGGTAAATAAACAAGTAAGAACTTCGAAGAAATTTCATTAAAAAAAACATAAAACTTTATACAACGCGGAATCTTTTTGACTTCACTTTATTTTATTTAAAACTCATTTTAATTCAAGCCTTTAATTTGTAAGTTTTATTCCATATTAAGAAAGTAATCTTATATAAATTTTATATATATTTTTAATTTAACCTTCAATATTTAAGCTTTGTCCCATAAAAGTAAAGAAATTTCTTATTATTCAAGTTGAGTTCAAAATGATTCATAGGCAAGATATTCATTATCATTTGATGGATTACCTTTTTAATAAAACAGACAAAATGGAATGTCGCATAGAATTATAGATATTTGGAGACTATTGTCCAAATATTGTTATGTAGTTGTCTATACTCCTAAATCTAGATTTAAATCTTTAAAGACTTCTGGGTAAATTACCTAATAATTCAGCTTGAAATAGGTGTTCCCAGAATGTTTGAGTAAATCAAACATAATCCATTTGGGTCTTATTTCGCCCAAAATGCCCAACCCAAAGCAAAATAATATTAACACTGATACAAAAAATGGAATAGTACAAATAAATATCTGACTATTTGGTTCAAAATTTTATATCGGATAAAATAATAATATTAATTACAATGCTCATGTAACTGTTTGATTTAATATTACATTTTATGAACTATTGTGAAAAATATTAGATTTAATATTACATTTTTTATATTATATTTAACTTAATATGGTTTCAATTTAAACTACATTTTTAGATATTAAAATTTATTCCGTCAAATGAAGTTTAAAAAAATTGTATATTTCTATACTTAAAACGACTAAATGGAAACTTACTTTTTTTTTACTAGGTAACCTTCTGCTTTTCAAAATGTGAGTAGAGCATCAAATGTTCAGTGCTCCAAAGAGCACCTTGTTTTTTCCCCCATGCTCTTTTTATTTTCTTCCTGCCATTGTGGCCCAGACAATGATGGAGCTGCACTTGGATACTTGGTTATTTGGATGTTGGAGGAGGAGCTCGAACTGGGGATAAAATTTGGAGTGGAGTGAGGTGGAGTGACGATAGCGATCTGCTTTCGCTGCCCCTTAATCAGCCAGTCATCGGTGAACGAGCAAGCTCACCCGGTAGTTTGTAGTTGGGCTTATTTGCCTTTTGTTTGTTTTACTTTTGTTTCGGTGTTTATATTATGTTTCTTGTTTTTTGTGTTTTGTTGTTCCGTTTTAAGTTGCCTCCACACAAGATTGATGCGAGAACAAGGTTTGTCGCTTAGGTCTTTTGTTGGCGGCGGTCGCTTTGGAGCTGGAGCTCCACTACCGGATGTGTTCTAATAAAACCAGTGCTGCGGATTCAGGGCCAACAAAATTGATCTCAGCACGCTTTTAATCGTAACAAAATATAATCGCACAAATTCACACGGATTGGAGCGTTGATATCTTGATAGATGAACTAGCCGTGCCCTCGATCTTGGAAAGATTTCGTTATTAGTAGACGTAGAAGCAGCTGGAACCTGTGCTTGAGCAGCCTGACGAGGAAGTGCTGGGGGCCTCCGAGGTGTTGCATTTTTTACGGCTGCCTCGGGCTTTCCATCTCTGCCATATGGAGTTCATACCAAGTCGTTTGAAGATCCCAGGCAGAAGCTTGGAGCGTGATTTTCTGCTTTTAATTCTAACAGATTGAGGTGGAAGCAGGGGTTCTTGTGGGGAAGGGGTTGCTTCAATTGGGGGAATACAAATGGGCAATGAATGTGGAAGAGGCTTCTGCAAACCCTCAAGCGCCAGTTGAAGATTCTTCCTCAGGTTATTGTAATGATACGCTTGATCTCGAGACCGCTGCCAGTTGGATTCGAAAGGATTCTTTTGGCTAGGATATGATGCTGGCATGCGTACACTGCTGAAAAATGGAATAGTAAAAATAAATATCTGGTAAGTGAATCCAAAATATGCATATTTCATATTTCAGTTTACATTAAATATAGTATTTAATACAATATTAATATGTGAACTAATGTGGAAAAATGTGTACTTAAGTTTTATTTATTTATCATATACATATATATAAATTGCATATTTCATATTTAAGTAAAATACATAATAATAACAATAAATACAATACTAAAATATTTCCAATAATGTGAAAACAAATTTTATTTATTTTTTTTATGGTATATAACATAACCAACGCTAAACATGACCTCGAGTTTAAGCAAAAATGTATTTATTTACAAGTCCCTAAAAATACAATACAAAGTAAAATTAAATAACTAAATAATTAATTAATAACTAACTAATATATAAACTGAGTATGAAATACTTGAAATTAGTATGATTTTTTTTTACCAGTGCAGTTTTGGGGACTTGGACGCCTTACGTCGGCGAAGGCGGGGCGGTGGCTTTGGAGCTGGAGGCGGTGGTGGAGCTGGACGCTTCACAGCCCGTTCCACTCGAATGTCCAGCACCAAACGCTCCGCACTGCTCGAAGCACTGCGATTAAGGCGCCATCTAAACTGGATTCGCTTGATAAATCTTTAAGAAATTCCAAATGACAAGCTCACCCCACCAGGATCAGAATCGCATTATAAATCGGCAGTACCACCAATCCGAGGATTAAAAGTCTCAGCAGAGGGCACGACAGTTGCTGCAGTTGCAGTAGCCAGTCTAAGGAGCAGCAGCCAATGGAACCCTCTACCAATTGCTCCTGGCTATGGTTAAACAGACTTAATGTGGTCGGAGGTCCTGACCAGGACAAAGATTTAGGCAGGATGTTGGCCATAAAGCAACCGAGCGTCTCCCAGCACAGCAACTTCATTATTTATTTATTTTATTCCTATTACTCCATTCGGTTGGAGTAAGTAGTGTGTGTGTAGAAAAGTAATAAAAGTAATAGTGACTTTTGATGCTAGGCATGGAAGTTCACAGCTTGAAAAGATATATTTTTCAGCTTAATAACTTTACTTACCATTGGTTAACAATTATATACTCCGATGGACTGCTCCTATTTTTAAGTCAGCAGCGCACATCTCTTCCAATCGAAATTTCCACGAGATATGACTAGAAACACAATTATTTTAGGCCGCTATAATTACTTACTTTAACTAGGAATAAACACTAATTAATTTTATTTCTTTTATTTTTTTCTAGATTCAATTACCACCAATATCATCAGAGAACTAGGCTCCTTAGTGCTGCAGGATGTCGGGAGACGCAGACAAATTAAAACAGTGGCTGGTGTATAACATATTTTAATTTTGAGAATAACACAAAATATTTAAGAAAATAAATGTGACTTTAAAAGGCTCGATTCGGCTATTAAAAATGTAAAACATTAATAATTTGTAATGGATTTATTAGTTAAGGGGTGAACATAACAGCAATAAATAGGCAACAATTAATTTTTGTTTTTTAGCGAAAAACTTTAATTATTTGCGGCCTACTTTTGGGCAGCCGATCATCTAGAGTTTGAGAAGCACTGGACGTTGTTGCATTCACCATGTCGCCTGGTACTCAGATATGTTCGCCTGGTATCTGAAATACAGATTTCTATGATTTATGTGAGAAAGAGTTTCGCGGCGGTGCATTTTGCAAGGAATATTGTGGGATTTCTGGTTTCAACAACCAGGCGAACAGAAACCCACAGCAGGTGTCCGCCGAGTAATTTTTTCGTTTCTAATAGGGATGGGCACGTGCGAATTTATTTCAGTACTCCAACAACAAATATAAGGGGCTTTCGTGCTTTTTCGTGAGTGGAGTGCCGAACTCGTGACACGCACAAGAAAACTACAAGGTTCCCCATCTCTAGGTTGAGATTGGCTTTGATCTTACGGTTCTTTTCCAGAAAGCTGGCTTCTCATTGGTCAATTTCTGAGGGGAAATATGGAAATGGCGGCCATTTTGAATAAAAAAACCGTTATTGAACGCTGTTCAAAATTACCAGCTGATACTTGCTACGAATTATGTTCGCCTGGTGTTTCAAATCAAAAATCAATTTCTAGCAACCGAGCATGGCACTCCGAAAAAAAAAAACACTTTTCGGAGTAATTTATTTTTAAGTGGTTTAGCAGGATATCTCGGCCAATATCAGTCCCACAGACAAAAGGTTGACTGTTTTGGACTGCTGAGAACCTAAGGGGGAGGACCTCATCACTTTTTCCAAATTCGCTCAAAAAAGACATTTTATAAAAATTTATTTTCCTCTAGGGGTACAAATCTAATAAAGGTGTGATGGTGATCGATAGCCTATGTCCTCGAAAGTCTGAAACAGTTTTTATTTTGCCTGTGGGTTGTATATTGGCTGAGATATCCTGCAAAAAGTATTTATTTTTTTTTTAAAAGGATGCTACAAGTGTATATCCGCGAGCTTCTGTCAGTGACCTTAGTGACTGCCCAAAAGTGTGCAACAGTTTTCTTCAAGAAGGATGCTGTAAGCACGATGAACAGCTGCCCAAAAGTATGCAAAGCTTTCTATATATACAGTATATTAAAACAAATTGTATTTTATTAAAATAAGAATGGATTGGGTTTGAAAAAAAAACGAAGTGCTAGATACTCAAAGTATCAAATTATTTTGCTTTTGTATTGTAAAAAAAGGTATATAAAAATTGACTTTTAAAACGTAATAAATAAATAGTCTAAATACTTTACCGCTAAAACGTTCATTCCAAAAGTGATGAGATGACCCAGAACAAAACTTATTAGCACATTATTTTCAAGACTCGCCTTTCGTACATAATAAAACCACTTGAAGTTTATTGACAAAATTTTGCAAACGACTGAGACAACCATCAACGGAGCTCGATGATTGACTGGCAACTGGGTTTTCCTTTGTGTTTTCCACGGTCTTAATTCGATAATCTTTACTTGCGCGCGGCAATATTGATACATGGTTACTTGACTTAAGCGGAAATCATTTAATGTACGTCAAATATAAAATACAACATACATTCTTACTTGTATAATAATACTAAAATGATGTAATTGTGTAATCCGTACACTATGCTCGCGTGTCGTGTCTGTATATTTTTGTATGGTGTTATAGGTATTTTGGAAACTTACAGCTTGGCCCTTGGGTCCTAGACGATACAATTAGAAACGTTTAAATGCTTAGGGTTCGGTTTGCTTTTGGTTTTCACTTACTAAACTATGACAACGTGTTAAAATACGTGTTACAATCAAGTGTATGTATCTCGTATCTGTATCTTGGGTCTCTTTTTTTCTTTTTGTATTTAATTTGTATATCAGTGTCCGAGTGCACAGTTTGCCGGCTTAAGAAAAAGTGTAGTGTTCGTATTGTTTCTAAAATAAATACATTAAATGCATTGAATAACTCCCAACTCTCCTGTATCCTGTTTTTTTTTTTCTAAATTAAAATGGCAGTTTTGGTATTGATCATATTTTTTGTTTACCGCGATTTTGATTTCCTGGAAGTTTACAGATTCCATAAAGTGTTTGATCGGTTATTATTTATGTAGTTGCTTGCTAGATATTGATTTGTTTTGTTTTTGTTTTTTGTTTTGTTTTTTGGGTACGTCTCTCTGTGTGCATAATAAAATTATGAGATTCCTTAAAGCTTCTGCGGCCGTGCGGCCCGTCGAATGGCCAACTTCTTCAAGGGACTCATCAGATCCGACGCCCGCCGCCCGGCCCTCCATAGAGATAGCACGGAGTCTCCAGACTCCAGAGTTCATTAAATGCTCCGACTGGGACTATCCCCGCCGGATTCGTCCGACTCATAATCATTCGTCGTGCTCGTCGTCGTCGGCTTTTGGCAACATTTTTGTAAAGTAATTGTAAAGGGGTATTTAAATGGGTGGTTTCTTGCTTCGGCCCGCACTAAATATTAACTATATGCGTTCGTCAATGGCAGATCGCAGATAACACACATGTGATGCTACAGAACTACTTAATTAAATTATATAATTTCAGTTATTTTCGTTTACGCTTTTAACTAAAAGTACAGTCTCAGTAGGGGGTATACTAATATAAAAGGGGCTTGGAGGGGGGTCTAAATAAAATCATCCATGTTGCCACCTCTTGAGCCAATCCAATCCAAATGCAACGCTATCCAATCTAATCCTGCTCGGAGGCACCCGGATAGTAGTAGGGCGGCGGACGCTCGTACTCCGAGGATGGCGGCGCTGCTGGCGGATTGTGGTAGCGCGGTGGCTCGTGGTCCCAGTGCCTGCGGATTGCAACCAAATCGAATTAGTCCATGGGAAATATGCAGGGTAAATTAAATATTTATAGTGCGACCACTCACGCACAACACAGAAAAACCAAGGGAGGGCGCAGTAGCTGCGATTAATCAGATCAACATAGATCGAAAAGCGATATAAAGTTAGTGGCTTTTGGTCATGAAGCAGTTATCGAGTGGGGCCATCATTGGTATGAGATCGTGTCCAGAAGTGTCTGTTTCTTTGGAGCAGCAACCTAAACACGTAAGCTTCTCCCATAAGCAACAAAAATTAAATACCAAAAATACACATGTGCGTGTTTGCAGTAAGAAAATTAAGTTTTGAAAATAGAAAGCGTTTCAAGAAGCTTTAAAAATATTTAGACAATATAATTGAGTTACGTTTGTCTAACACAACAGGTCATTGAATAAGCAAACAAAATTAAGTCAATAGAATTTAACAAATTTGAAGGTTTGCAGTAAGAAAATAACACGTTTTTTAAAAAAGAAAGAGTATAAGAACCTTCAAAAATATTTAGACAGTATAATTGATAAACGTTTTGTCTAATATAACAGGCCAATCGAAAAAGCTAACAATTTTAAATCAACAATAGTTAAAGAAAAGGGAACTAAGCAAATGTGTAGGGGGTTTCCAGTCTATTCACAAAACAGTCGGAAATGGAAATGTCTTCGAATCGCGGAAAGTCGGGGAAGCACATCGATTGAATCTTTGAGTGGCACATTACACATTACCGGGCAGAAACCAAAACCGATTAGCATTTGGGCCATGCCTAAAAGAAACCATCTGCCGCCAATGCCTTTGGCCGAGAGCCATTGGTCACACCTCTAGCGCTAAATAAAACAAAATTAAAAATTAGCGATTTAGGCATCTAGCAGCGGTCTAAAAACGAGCAAGGGGAAACTGGATATCGATGCGGAGGTCAGGCGAATTAATTTTCACTGTTTGGCGGCTATATTGCGTTTACTATTGTTAGAGTGAAGTTCACTACTACAAGACTGTTGTAACTTCGTAATTTATAAGTTAGCAATACATTTATCTAAATTAAGAATAGTTCCAAGTGTCTCAAAGAATCAGGGTGTGCAAATAATAATCATTTTAAATGTTTTTTTCTAAGTTAAACTTGTTTTGAATCCGCAGCTTCTGAACAGTTTTAATTATATTTTTAAAACACCTCCTTAGGTACAACCAAAATAAAATAAGTAGAACCTTTCTTAGATATTGTCAAAATTGTATACACACAAATAAAAATTTTATTGCCATCTATAACGTAGTTGCACCAATTTCGTAAAAAATTCCATACTTCAATTTACAATGAAAAGGCCCTAAATATCTTTATGTCTTATTTGGGATTTTTACTCATTTTTACTCAGTTACGCCAGTCTTTTAGCGAGTGACTTAAGGTCAGGAGTTCAACCGGGAACTGAAGGACACTTACGTGGGCGCCATGTCGTTGTAGCGCATGCTGCTGCTGCCCGGGGCGCCATCTCCGCCGCCGCCGCCTCCACGATCTCCGCCAGAGCGATTGCCGCGGGACACGCTGGGCGAGGCGTCCTCGTAGTAGTCCTGCTGCTCCCTGCGCCTCTCGTACGCCTTACGCCGTTTCTTGGGCACGCTACAATGGGCAAGAGGAGAAGAGCAAGGGCAAGGGGGATTAGCTTAGCTCCTAGCCAGAGGGGTCAAAGGTGACTGGGTGATCGTCTTAC